GATATGAATGGAAATTCGCAAGAAGTGACGGAGCCATTACCAAAGTCCGAGACCGAGGAGACATCAGCAGAACAGGACAATGGGGTGAGTGGTGGAAACCGTACTCTAATCGTATCATTGCTATTTCGTTTGGTACAATATTGGATATGAAGAACCAGTCCAAGTAAGAGTATTCTACAATTTAAAATCATTCATTTATTTACAAATCATTTTACATTGAATTGCAGGAATGTATGGAAGTGATGGAAGCTGAAACTATTAAGAAGTCATCGACAAACCAATTAGAATATGACAATACAGATTGTGATGTTAAGCATGAAGCATATTATTTGTTGACACACTCAGGCCACAGTGGAAGTGATGTTGGCAGTGTTATATTAGAAAGGAAAAAGGATGATGGACAGAACAGTGTCCTAGCCAAGAAGGTTGATAATTATGAAGACAAGAATACACAATAAAAGAGGAACTTTCTATAAGCATGATGACAGAACAACAGATGATTTGTAAGTTATAAAATGTATTCATGAAACGTTTGAGATTATTATTATTGAATTTCAGCAAAACTGATGCTGTTGAGGGTGAAGTTAAGGAATACAAGAATAGCAAAAAGATGATGTGGACTGAGGAGAACAGGAACCACAATAAATTTAATGGCAATGAACAGATGCCTAAGAGCAAGTCTGAATTAATTTCCATCTATGGTTATGATATCAGGAATGAAGAGGGACCTCCAAGATCTAGGAGGATGTATTATGGGTAACATTAATTGATGTAACCTTACTATTTATATAATTATCGACGTTCGTGCTTGCGTGCAGACGAAGTGCTAACAAGTATACTTGCAACTGGGAAGACGAAGTTGCGTACAGCAAACTGGCTACATCGGTCAACACGAAGAAACCCACTAGAAAGTCTAGAACGAGTCCGCAATTATACCAAATTGCCGAGGAGAAAGCAAACACTCAAAAGAATACCAGGAATAGCACAGTCGATGGTGCATAACAATAGACAATTTACTCCTAAGAAAAACTCGAGCCATCAACATCCACCATTTCACCATTCATCACAGAACGATACACAGAATAATAAGAATTGTAATACCATTGACACTGGAAGAGATACCAAACCAAATAGGGATATCAAATATTCAGTTTGTAAGGGTTTTACTAAATCTCGTCAATTTACGCCGAGGACCCAGAACGATTTGGGAAGGGACAAGGAATCCCCGCATAGCAAGAACAATGACAACAAACGTTCGACACATGAGATAGAAAAGGAAATTGGAAAACTGAGTGTGCAACAGCAGGTGTACGGTAAGAATTGTATTAATAGGCATGACGCAGGTAACAGGCAAGGCAACATGCCACCACGTGTGCAAGGAATGCCCAAGGGCGGATGTAAGACGTACAGCTCCAGACAAGAGTCATTGCCAGAGTCGGCGAATCCGTTACCGTTCGACCAGCAAGATGGATATTTTGTAAATGTCGAGTATGGTCAAACCCAACACCAACCGAATGCTCAGCAGTCACGACAGCAACCACTGCTGCAACATTCTCCCGCCCAGATGCCCGCAATTCATCTGCCTGCTTTGCCACCATTAGTCCTCGTTAGGACCACATCCCTGCTTTCTCAATTCGGCGCTGCATTTGCTCAAGCTCCGCCGCAGTTCTTACAAGCCGCTCCGCCTCTCTTCATCCCGCAACAAACCCCACATATCATTAACTACGTTCAGTCCCAATTCGCAACTCACCAACAAACATATCTAGAAAATGGTAAACTAAATTTATGAGCATGTTTCGATGATATGATTAAATATTAACATGCATTTAAGAGTCAACCAACTGAGATATTCTAACCGCCAGGAGGAATCACTTATTATTCTGTACAGGATCAGCAAGTGACGCAAAGAGCTGCTTCTCAGAAACGGCCAAAGGCAGCCATCCCCATTGTCCTCCCGCCATCACTGGAATCTCGCGGAAGAGGGCGTACGACTCAAGTGGCAAAGACATCGAATGCGCCTGACGTTGAATTGAATGTGGAAGCGGCGCCCGTTCCTAATTGCGAGGATGCCGATGCCGCCTCAGCGGTGGCCGTGAAACAATGATACACGCAGTTCGTTGTTTAACACTTCTAGTACACTTATCTATCGCCGTACGGAATAAGGTATATGATATATACATAAATGTATCTATCAGTAAGAAGAATGAGTCATGGGAATGAATTTTGATAGGAATACTTAGAAAATAATAATAAACAGAATATAAAATATGAAACGTACTATAGAACTATTAGTTGTAATTTGAATAAAACTATAAATTACAAGAAATTTCCACTTCCTGTAAATACTCACCATAAATACTTGAGCATGATCTGCTATTCTGCTTGAGCATTCATAGCCATCATCTTCAAATCCTATAATCATATCTCTTTTGCAAAGAATTCCTAAACTAAACAAAACAAAAGCAAAGCTAATGTGTTTGTTCAGTTTAATTTTAACGAAGTGTACAATGAAGATAATTATAATTGTTCGAACAGCGTAATTATCAAAATAAATGGGTTGTGTGAAAGAGAAAAAAATATTCCATTACATATATTTTTTTTGTTGGTTTGACGCGTCGGAGAGGAAGATTTTCTTAAATTGAATTATCTTTATTTCCTGCAAGACATTACAATGGAGCGGACATAAATCTCGAGTTAATAGTGCTCACACGCATATACGAATAGGAACGAAAAGAATGCTAAAGAAAGATAAAGAAATAAGTTAATTACTGAGAAAGAAGAAGCCGGTAAGGCACGACCGATGGAAGAACTGCGGGTTTCTAGATGTGGAACGATTTTAATTGTATTCGGCTTTTCTTTATACATTTCTTTGGTTCAAACAGATCGCATTTCGAAATACTTGAATTCGTTTCTACTGTCTATGATAAATTACTTTTTAAGGAATAATATAGGTCAGATAAATTCTAAGTGGCTGTAGTTATTAAGTTTGTTAACAGTTTTCTCGCTTAAGTGTATAACTGGGAATCGATTTAGTTCGAAAACCGAAATCAATGTTAACCGAAATTGTATACAAAAATTCTGTTCGAAATGCGTTTTCAGTGTACATATATCAATGATTTCTCGAATTTAATATAATTAATAAAGATATTTAATTTCGATTTTTAATTGTGTCAATTTATTTGGATTTATTTGCTAATTCTAATTAGGTAAATCAAGTTTGTTCGAAAACCGAATCCAATGCTAAAAGAGATTTTTTTTCCGAAAACCGAAATTCTGTTCAGAATTCGAATCTAAATAAGTGGAAACATTGTACATGATCAATCAAGTTTTTTTGAACAACGAAACCAATGTTAACCGAAATTTGATACGAAAACCGAAGTTATGTATAGAATTCGATAGATTTAAATATAAACATCATCTCTCATTGTTTCCACCTGTCGTTACGTAATTAAAAGTGTGGCTTTCTAGGAATATTGAAGACTTGTTTAATGCATTTCGTATAAATTTAATTTGCAACTTCGCGTCGTAATCAACGAAAATGAGGAAGAAGAATTTTTCAAAAATGTTTTTTTTGTTATTAATAAAAAAAAAATCCGTATCTAAATCTTCGAGATAACCAGATACATCTACGAAAGCTCAAATCTTCGCATTTAAACAGTTTTTTCGATCAAATTTCATAAATTTAAAAATGGAATTTGCCACCAAATGAAACAGAGAGGCTACAGCTGCAGATAACATGGTTGTGGAGATATGTTCTTCAATAATCGAGGACTTGACAGAAACGAAAAACAGAAAGCAAAGCCTGAAACCTTCCTTAAGAGATGCATCAATGTTATTCATAAAGTTGGATAAAATATTGAAGCAACGCAATTACATGGGCGATTGGAAGTGCGTTTCAAAGATGCAACTGAAACCGCAGTGTATATACTCCGACATTATTTCTATGAGCATGGCTGACACGGAAAAAGATATAAATATATTCCATGATGGATTGGAGATGACTTCCACAGGCTTAGTGACTCTATGCAAAGCGAAGATGGTCACCGATTATGGGATGAGACCTCACTCTATGTCCAATTATGAATTTCTTATTGATTTTCATGAGCACGTTTGTTGTGTACAGAAAGCTGTGTATAAAATCGAGAACAATTTGGCGATCATAAAGAAGCTATGATGAAAAAAAAATCAGTTGAGGTGGAATACGAGTTCGAGTCTGCAAAAAAAGGTATTAAGCTTGGTTAATATGAAAAATGCATATAAGTTTTGTACTGTTTTTTTTATAATAAAAATTAAATTTATTTTTTTTACTCCATTATATATTGTATTAATTAACACACATTTCGTTACAACGTTTTATTAGAAATCATATAGCAAATATTAACTATAAAATCTTTGATTAGTTTAAAAAGAAACACATAAAATATTCCAATTTTTACATAACATTACTCCCAAATTAAGTAAAAAAATAAAAGTTTAAAAATAATATATTTACCAAGAAAAGTAAACATTTGTGGAAAGAAATAGTAATATTTTTTAGTAGGGGTAATTTCTATATATATTATTATTTTTTTCATTTTACATTCTTAAAGTTTTTGGAAAATATGAAGTATAAGAAAAAATTCCAAGAAACTTTCAAAGTTTATTGTTCTCTGAAGAAAACAACGTTATTTTGAGGTATTCAACTTCTTTTCCAAACTAAATAAACTAAATCAAATACGAAAAGTGAAACGTTTAGTCTTTTATTTGTTGTAAGTAATTATATATACAATTTTAAAAAATTTTATTAAAAAAAAATTTTTTTTCCTAACTTTGTCACAAGTTCGATTTTAGTAAATTTGTGTATTAACAAAAAAAATAACTAAATTTATAGGAAATACTTAATAACGTTGGCATTTTAAAAATAAACCTGAAAGCGACTAAATATAAATAATAGTTAAAATTCTCGACATTTTTGTAGAAGGAAAACAAGTTGGACATTGAAAAAAAAAGAAAGATATTTAACCATCTATCTTTCTTTAGAAAAATAAACAGCGTTTAGTGTAGAACTCGTTTTAATTCCTTCTGTTTTTCTACATATTTTTTTGCTGTTTTTGTCTGTTTCCTCTATATTCTTAATTCATCACGAATGTGCACGTCCTCCGGGCGACTGAGTCGAGAAGAATGCTCGTTACGTAAGCTATAAAATCCATTTGGAACGGTAAAAGAAATGTACAAGTGCAGAGAGAAGAGAAGAAATGATGGAGAAAAAAACGTGGAACGAGGAAATACACTCGATGGAATAAATAAAAATAACTAAATTATTTAATTTATATGAATAAAAACTTGGTTTTAAATGCTCGATTAAAGTTAAGCGAGTTGTATCAATTTTTGTAAATGGATGATGAATTGTGATAACTAAAACTGTAAATTTTGAGTTAAATGGAAAAGTAAAATTAAAACTAAATGTTAGATGATTCTTAAAAGTTAAGAGCGGTGATAATTGAAGTAACTCAAACAAAAGAACTATTCTCGATAAAAGTTAAGCAACATTTTTCAAATATTTTATTTGAATAGGAATAATTTTCAATTATATTAATTAAATAGGTGATAATAAAAGTATGTAAAGAAATAACTGATTATATAACTATTAATAATAAATATAAGTAAACAAAAATATTCTAAAAATTTGACAAAGAAATAAAAAAATAAAATTAATGATTTATTTCGTGGATTTTCCACTGTGTCCTGAGAAACAAGGACTTGCAACGTAATAAAAAAAATTGTATTGTTCCAAGAACTTCTGGATAAACAGATTCATATCTCGTCCTTGTTTTACAGAAACCATCATAACTTTGAAAGGTCTCTTTTTTTTAAAGAATTTTAAGAATTGGCTACAAAACCAAGAAAAAGGGTTCAATAATTAAGAAATTCTCTCAACGCGCAGATTCAAAAAATACTAAGGTGCAATAAATTCATAAACTGAAAGGCAGTTAAAGTAATAATACATGGTCAAAAAACCTCAAATGATGAAGAAAAAAAAAATCATGAATAAATTTGATAGAAATAAAAATAATTAAACAGAAAGTTAAGCAACGAGAATTTGGATTGGTGATCGTTACTCAATTGTTTCTCAACGCTTCACGCTGACATAACATATTTTAATTTAATTATTAACAGTTTTTCACCATTTCCTCATATTGTCACATTGTGACAGCTGTCATTTTGGGACCCGTAAACCATGAGTCTACTATTATCTAAAAGGTATAAAATTATTATATCAGTAGCTGAGACTTATCGCTGATATAGATCACTAGCTCTGAGATTGCAGAAAGATTAATTTATTAACTTTATTAGTTTATTATTGGTTTTTTGTAATAATGGCTTCTCCAAACATCTCACTCGGGAGTATTCCTGACGATTCGGCATATATAATAACAACACCCATGTGCTTCCCACGTAAATCTCTATTTGGGCTTCACACTCTAGTAAGATCCCAGAAATCCTAACTTGATGTAGAATGTTTACGTGTAGTCTTAATACCTCCTCTAATGCTAGATACGTCCGCTATCGACTGCCACAGGAAGTAAACTGAAAAGATAAGAATAGAATGAGGAAAAGAAGTAAATATTAATAAAACGTATACCACTTGTGCTTTCACCCGAACTGCATAATTTGAAAAATTTCTACGATAGAATGAAGTAAAACAATTCTAGGGCTTTTTATGATTTTTAATTCATTAAATATTATCATAAATTGTAAAATATAAAAAGTATGAAAATCAATTATATATAGTTAATTTATCTACTTTGATCTTTCGACCAGTGAAAATAAATTTTAATGTTATTAACATGTATACACACTTATTTAATTTACTCGTAGGCTTCAATGTTTAATTTGAGTGTGAACAATACAATTATTTGTAAAGTTTTGTGACTTTTTGTATTTTGTGTAATGTGTTAAATATTAAAATAATAAATATTAAAAACACTAATCCTGTCATTTTTGTGAAACTTCGAATAAATGGGCCAGCCGCTTAATCGGGATAAAATATACTAGTCCCGATTAAGCGGAATCACCTGTATTTGAAATGTTGAAAATAATTTAAGTTTTTTTTTCATGTTTGAA